GCAAACATGAGCTCTTAACTGATGACTTCCACAAGGAAAAAAAAGCCACCAACTAATATTGTTATTTCTTAAATGAATAAAAAATTTTTAAGCAAAACAAATGAAAAAGGGGGCACCAGGGTGACTCAGTCAGTTAAGCGTCTGCCTTCACCTCAAGCCATGGTCTCAGGGTCCTGGGATCAAGCCCTGTATCAGGCTCCCTGCGCAATGGGGAGTCTGCTTCTCCCTCTCCCTCTCCCTCTGCCCCTCTGCCCCACTTGTGCTCTCTCTCAAATAAATAAAATCTTTTTAAGTTTTAAATTTTAAAAAAATGAGAAAGACATAAGGCCTAGAAAAAGAACAACATTGTAAATTGAATAAATTGAGCCTCCTGACTTTTTCAGTATAGAGGAGTGAACATTTCATAATGGACTGATACTAGACTAAGGAAATATAAGCATCCTTTATCTTCGTCTCTTTACATGGTTTTTTCCAATCTATCCTCCACATGAGGGGTGACCAAACTATGGCCACAGGCCAAGTCGGACCAGTCACATGTGACTGTGCTCCCATAAAACTTTATTTACAGAACCAGATGGTTGGCTCTTGCTATTCACCTACGTATTGCTACGGCTGCTTTCACACTATAATGGTACCTGTAGTTGAGAAACCACAGGGCCTAAAATATTCACTATCTGGCCCTTTAGAGGAAAAGCTTGGTGATCGCTATTTTGTGCCACAACCAGAAGGCCCTAGTTCAAATCTAATCTTATTACCCTTCTGCTTCACATTCTCCAGTGAATCCCTGCATCAAGTACTGCTGGCTCCCTCCCCAATAACCATGCCATAGTCTTCATTCTTGCTGGAGAACCACAACTTTATTTGGATATTTATTTTCCCAAACACGAAGAAGGTGGCCTTACCCCAGCTTCAAAAGGAGAAATGATTATTCTAAGCTAATCACAGTACCTGATTTACCAGCGGCTGGTTTAGGAACAAGCATGTGATATAACCTAGCTTATAAGATGTTAGAGGACATTTACTGCGAGCCTCTGAGTTTTCTTCCTATTTAAAAGAAACATATAGGGGTGCCTGGGTGGCTCAGTTGTGAAGCGTCAGCCTTCGGCTCGGGTCATGATTCTAGAGTCCTGACATCCAGCCCCACGTCAGGCTCCCTGCTCAGCAAGAAGAGGCCTGCTTCTCCCTCTGCCGCTTCCCCCTGCTTGTATTCTCTGTCTGTCTCTCTCTGTCAAATAAATAAATAAAATATTTAAAAAAAAAAAAAAGAAAGAAAAGAAACATATAAAGAAAAACAGCCCTTCCAGTCACTGGATATTGTCATGTGAGAATATGCCTCGAACTCTCGCTAATTAGCCAATCAGGAAAGGACATATAAAATACTGCCAACCTCAAAGCTAAAAAGAGACAACTGGGATCCTGGTGACATCATTGAACCATCAAAACCAATTCTGGTTCCTACTGTTTTAGTCACTGTTTTGTTTGGTTTGCTTTTTTTTAGATTTATTTATTTGAGAGAGAGTGAACGCGTGCAAGAGAGAGTGCACGAATGGGGGGAATGGCAGAGGAAGAGAATCGTCAAGCAGACTTCATGCTGAGCACAGAGCCCAATGGGATGTGGGGCTTGATCTCATGACCCATGAGACTGTGTGACCTGAGCTAAAACTAAGAGTCAATGCGTAACTGACTAAGCCACCCAGGTGGCCCCGTTTTAGTCACTATTATAAGTCACCTGTTATTTACAGCTAAAAGCATTCGACCTGATAATTTCCCAAGGTCTACAGGGTAAGATCTACACCTTTCTATGGTACTGAAAAACTTTCATTAGCTTGCTTTAGCTAAGTATTCACTCATTCCAACCATTCCCACAGCACTTTTTGTACCAGCAAAATTGAACTGCTTTTAAGTGCTCCAAAGTTCACTTGTACATCTGAGCGTCCGCACTGCTGTTCCCTCTGCAAAACATGTAATCTTGATGGATGTTCCTCCTGCCAAACATGGTTCTTCTGCCTCTTTACCTGGCAAACTTACTACTCAGTCTGTATACTTACCTTAAATTCTACCCACTCTCCTAAAACTCTAATTTGTTACTATCGACTTACATATTAAGTACCAATAAAAACATAACAATGATAATTATAAGCACTAGGGGACTCTGGCACATAGTAAGCATGGAATAAAGTAGAGTAAATAATAAAGTAGTAAAAATAGAGTAAATAATAAAAATGACAATGATAATAAACTCCTGGAGGGCAGGGATTGTGTTTTTTGAATGTTTGCATTCTACATCAGAGTAACACTTAGTAGCTAAAAGACACTTGATAGTTATTTGCTAAGTGAACAAATGAAAATGAGTAAAGTGCAAAACCAAACCAACCTACATATTTTCTTTGATAAAAGTCTACTAAGTTAAAGGTTTCTTTATACATTTCAGACTGTATAATGCACTAGGTGCCACACCTAGGGAGCAATGGTAGCATTTTTGTTATTGCAAACAATTTTTCTGCTTTTATTATAATCTGTTGAGCCTCAGAGTTGCCCCATTTGAATTTTTATTATGATAATCTTTTTACTAATGGCAACAGAGTATTGTGTTCAAACAAAATTATAGTATCATGACAATTATGCAACAAACAGAAGAAAACATTGTTCTAATAGAGTCAACATATCTCATTCTCTTTAATGAGAAATGAAGTTGTTAATGGTGATACCTTGTTGACACAACAATATGTAAAACAACCTATGCTTCTCAAGACATTTCTTTTCTGATTTCTGTACCACAGACAGTCACCCTTAAAGAAAAAAAACAGTCTCACTGGTATTGCTGCATACTAGCTAAGTTTTCCAGTTCTTTTTGCTTGCCATTTGTTTATGGTACAAGGAAGGTATTGTAGAGTTCCCACTTTTAAGGATAGCTCCTTTTTTTTTTTTTGAGACAAAGCAGAATGTAATAATACTTATTAAATGTAATCCACTTGTAAAAATTAAAAGATCCATTTTCATAACAAGTTCAAATTGTTTTAATATGCTTATAGAGGAAACATAAAACATACTAACTTAAAAATTTCTCTTATTTACACAAAGATATAAGGGATTTTAGGGGTCATGACTAAAATAATGAATTTCTTTTCAGACAATAATGTCTCATATTTTAAATTACCTACAATTAACTTCCTTTTTCATTGTTGTTCACACTGAGGTACCTTTTTTTTTTAAATTATGTTCAGTTAGCCAGCATATACTACATTGTAAGTTTCTGATGTAGTGTTCAATGATTAATTAGCTGCATATAACATCCAGTGCTCATCATGACACATGCCCTCCTTAATACTCATCACCTGGTTCTCCCATACCCCCACCCTATCCCTTCCGTAACCCTCAGTTTGTTTCCTGGAGTCCAGTCTCTCTCATGGATTTGTTCCTATTGTTCATGACAGTATTTAACTTCTTAAATAATTCTGGATACTAGATTATTAAGAAAGAAATTAAGAAAGAAAAAAAATAGAGGCCCCTGGGTGGCTCAGTTGGGTAAGCACCTGCCTCAGCTCAGGTCAAGATCCCTGGACCCTGGGAGGACTGAGTCTAACACTGGGCTCCCTGCTCAGTGGGAAACCTGCTTCTCCCTGTCCCTCTGCCTGTGCTCTCTCACTCTCTCTCTCTCTGTCAAATAAATAAAATCAAGAGAGAGAGAGAGAGAAAGAAAGGAAGAAAGCAAGAAAGTGAGCTTATGCAATTTACACATTGGGTTTTTTTTTTTTCCACTGCTCTTTCATAATCAAAACTTCCTTACTCTGACTTCATCTATGTGACCACCAAAAGTAATTCACTCTGAAAAGTCTTACCTGGATTGTTATTTTGCGAAAAATTTTTAAGTCTTTCTTCTGTATGTTGGGCAATTATTTGGCGATTGCTACGTATAAAAAGGGTGATAAACAATGTTACTATTTTAATACTGATATGAAAAACATTTACCAAATATATCAAATTCATAAGAGTATTTTGAATAATATCAGAGCTAATATCAAAATTTAAATTACCCCATATACTTCAAAGTAAGGTGAACTAGTCATGAAGTAGTAATTTAGCAATTAGTAGTGTTAGCTTGCCATAACGGAACGTGTCTTGAACTCAGCGGTCCTAACTCTATAACCACAGCTATTTCTCGGACGAGCCACTTCTCTCTGGCTCCAAGTCTTCCTCTATAAAACAGGCATCTTACTGCCTTATTTCACAACGTTGTTAAGAGGAGTTAATGAAATATTATACCCAAAACATGGCCTCTCGGGAAACGTGACGCCCACCACTCTGGGAAGGGCAGTATGAGACCTTTCATCACCTCATAAGAAAAGGCGCTCCACGGGATTTAAAGCAGGCTTGAGATACAGGCCTAGTAACAAAGGAGAAAGGAAAGTCCAGGCTCTTCCTGTAGCATTATTTGAACCTCTTTAACAGCTTAGAAGGGTCCCAACTACCATCTGCTAGCAGGATAGACAAGCGAAATCCTCAAGCGGTACTTCATTATGAAGGTGTGCGCTAACATATGGGCTTCACATAAGGCTTTTGAGTGTGAAGGGAAGGGTGTGTGTGACTAAAGCCAGGGGGCCCGGCGGCCAGAACAGGGTGCTGGTGCCTTGGAATAGCAGCTGAGCATATAAGCATACGTCGTAAACTAAAAAAATGTTGTAACTTTGAAGTCTCATTGTGGGTCACCATGAAGACTGAGGAATGCGGATCAGCAAGGGCATCCTGGGAGCAAAGGTCAATCATAACCAGACTGCAGAGAAAAAAAAAATTGCCTTCTAGAGGACAGGTCTGTTTTGTAAAAAGTTATTTGCAGGGGTGCCTGGGTGGCTCAGTCATTTAAGCGTCTGCCTTCAGCTCTGTCATGATCTTGGGGTCCTGGAATTGAGCCCCACGTCTGGCTCCCTGCTCTAAGTCCTCCCCCTGCTCATGCTCTCACTCTTTCTCTCTCTCAAAAAATAAAATCTTTATTTTTCTTTCTTTTTTTAAAGATATTTATTTATTTATTTATTTATTTATTTATTTGAGTGAGAGAATGAGAGAGGAAGAGAGAAAACATGAGAGCGGGGAGGTTCAGAGAGAGAAGACTCCCCTCTGAGCAGGGAGCCAGTTGGGGGACTCGATCCTGGAACTCCAGGATCATGACCTGAGCCAAAGAGTCACATAACCAACTGAGTCACCAAGGTGCTACACAGCAATGTTGCAGCAACAGAATCAAAGGAAACAAGGGAATGATAAGAAGGTCCTTTTATCCCTCCAAATGACTTGCGAAAGAGGATGGTCTCTTTGGTCTTAGGGAACTCCTCAGGTTCTTGGAAAATTCAAGGGGGAAAGTATAGGAGATAACCCTCAAGGGAAAGTACAGGGTTTTCTACTAAACTGAACATCTCAAGACCCAAGTAACTAGTTAGGAAAAAAAAAATAAGATGTTGGATATTGGGGCACCCAGGTGGCTCACTTGGCACTTGGTTAAGCATCTGCGTTCAGCTCAGTTCACAGTCTTGGGGGACTGGGATTGCTCCGCAGGGAATCTGCTTCTTCCTCTGTCCCTACCCTGCCCCTCTCTGAAATAAATAAATAAAATCTACAAAAAAAGGAAGGGAGGAAGAGAGGGAGGGAGGGAGGGAGACAGGAAGGAAGGAAAAAAAAAAACCACAAACGTAACATTCTTTGTACCCCATGCATAACAGTTATCCTTGGAATGAAACAGATACAGTTAATATCCCTAAAGATAAACGTCTCAATAGTCCCGAGATAAAGAATCCTGCTCCCGTTGTTATTGCTAACTAGACTAGCCTTTGTCTTGGTTTCTGGCAAATGACGTGGGCTAACTCACTGCCATTCCAACATTGCCCAAATCAAACTACGAACTCGCAACCCTTACATAAGAACTAAGAGTTAAATTATTTTAAACTTCAGTTTAGTGATAACTAACATTTTAATGTAAACACTTACACATCAAATCCACTAAAAGCAGCATAGTCCTCTGCTGTCCATCCACATTCATCTCGAGAAGAGGGATTAATACCTTGCTGAAGAAGAAGCCTGACTACATCTGGAGATTTAGAAGTTGCAGCAAGCATGAGGGCTGTTCTAAAATAACAGAGACATAACTTCACCCTTAGGAACTCAGAGGTATCTAAACAGCAAATTTCATATACTTTACCAGGTTAATATCTTGCCTATCGGTACAGAATTGACCATTAACACGTTCAAGTGTTTATATTTGTAAATTACCTCCACGGCTAAAATTAAAGGACAAAAAAGAAGCCTCTTGTCCCACCTGGGTATGAGAGTAGAAGTTGCTAATTTAAAGTCATTTGATGAACAAGAAACTATGGTAAATTCTTTTAAATAAGAATTCCCCATTTCTTCCTTAAGCTGATTCAGTGTACTTCCAAGCCTTCTAGAGGACAGGTCTGTATAAAAAGTTATTGGCAGGGGTGCTTGGGTGGCTCAGTCATTTAAGCGTCTGCCTTCAGCTCAGTCATGAACTTAGGGTCCTGGAATTAAGCCCCACGTCTGGCTCCCTGCTTTAATCCCTTCCCCTGCTCATGCTCTCTCTCTCTCTCAAAAAATAAAATCTTTAAAAAAAAAAATAAGAAAACAAAAAAGCTATTTGCAGGATTAAAATAACAGTATTCATACCAACAGTAATAAAAGAGTCATAGTTGCAGTTAATGATAAGCATGTGTTAGGCACTAAATTAAATACTATATATATAAGATATTATTTACACACAACAACCCTTGAAGGATATATTATCCTCCTTTTCATATCAGAGAACGTATCTGGTGATGATAAGTCATGTTTCCAGAGTCACATACCCAGCAAGTAGGAAAGGAATTAAACCAAGTCTTGTATCAATCTAAAGTCCATCTCTTTTCTCTTTATCACCCACCTATGATTTGTCCTCATTAAAAGAAAAATCTATTCAATTAAAGTTATCTTTCATCCTTCTACCCTTACCAATGAAAACAAAATAAAACAAACAAACAAAAATATATATATACTGAACATGAAAAAGGATGATAAGCCCACACTATCTGGTAATAGTAATTAATAATCACTTAGGGATCATCTAACATCATTATTCTTTAAAAAAAAAAAGGCAATTTAAAGCAAGGAATCATTCAAAAGATAAAACAACTCCTATTTATGTTTAATATGCATCTTTTAAGGAAAATATATATGAAGTAGACGTTTCCAAAAAAACTATAAAAGGGTTATGAAGTTCAGTATTGTTTCATAAAATAAAAGGAGTCCACACTTTATAATAAAACTAATATGAAACCCACTTAGCTAACATAAAATCATATGGCAGAAAAAAAAAAGACTGCAGATCACATCAGTCAATAATATGAAGGAATATAAATTCTGCTGTATACTGTTCTTCATGTTGCCTCATCAGAATAATTGTTTTCTGCCTGATGACATGTCGACATTTTTCACTATATAATTATAAATTAATCCTCTTCTTATTAAGTTAATCTTTCTGACTTAATTCTTACCACCCTAGAACAATATAAGGTTTAAAAAAAAAAAACAACTACCGTACCTTTTCGACTTATCAACCACATGTACATCTGCTTTTTTTCCTATTAACAATTCCACCATTTGGTGTTTGTTTTCATTTACAGCAAGTAAAAAAGGTGTGAGTTCGAACTGTAAAAGTGCAAAAACAATTTATAATTTATAAAATTACATATTTCCATACTGAATTTTAAAACCTATAAAGGATCCTCTAAACTTAAACACATATATAAGTACTCTCACCCCCCCTTCCCATCCCCCATCCTCCCCACCCCCCACCATCCCTTACCCCTGTACTTTTACCAGCTGCTCCTTCTCTTTACAATAGCCCACCTCAGGGGGCCTGGGTGGCTCAGTCTGAGCTTCTGCCTTCAGCTCAGGTCATGAGCCCAGGGTCCTGGGATCCAGCCCCACGTCAGGCTCCCTGCTCAGTGGGGAGTCAGCTTCTCCTTCTCTCTGTACCCCACCCCTCTGCTCATGTCTCTCTCCCACTCACACTCTCTCAAATTAATAAAAATTTTTGAAAAAAATAAAATAAATTAAGTTAAATAGCCCTCCTCCACCTCTTCAACAGATTAACTGTAGTCATTCTCCAAATCTTACTTCAAACATTGACCAGTTCCAAGAATCTCGGCTTCTATCATGGCATTTATCACTATATACTCCACTTATTTTATTGCACCCCATCGAAACCAAGAGCTTCTTGAGGGAAGGGACTATTTTTTATCTCTCTATCTCCAAACTCTAAAACATAGCTGTAAAGGCTTGAAGTATTTTTACTGAATTAACAGCCTAAATGATTATCTCTGCAGTAGTGTTTCTTAAATTATATCCCAAAGAACATATACTTTGCTGGAAGGTGAGGATTGTGCCTCAATAGAAAGACTCAATGATCCTCTATGTTTGAGAAATATTACAGAACTGCACTATA